GCCGATACCGATATGGTGGCCGATATATCGTGCATCCCTACCTATAATAGACCGTTTAATCACAGAATCTGTTGTGACAACTTACCCCATTTAGTGTGACATCATGCCCTGCATTATATAGACCAGGTCTGTGTCTATATAGAAACTGACTCTGAAAAAGAAACCTACCCTGAGAAATATTCACTGAAATCAAAATTGACTCTAGTGAAAACTTTGGAGTCAAAAGTGAAAACTAGCCCAATTCTCCCATATAATATATATTGTAATACTTTCGTTTTAGGCATCTATTGGGACACCAGGACTCCGTCTGTGGCTCTGATATGGGACTTTAGGTTTATGCCTCTCGTATTGTCGTTCCTGGAGGGAATTCTCTGGCTTAAAACATTTACGCTCTTCCAGAAATGGTGGGGCATTTACATTTGCAAGCTATGGATGAGAGTTTGAAAGGAAAGAACCGGGATGGACTGATTGATAGTCCAGATTCAGGACTCCCTCCAAGCCCCAGTCCGCCCTTCTACTCTCTGTCACCGGGGATCCTCGAGTCACGCTCCGGCAGCTGCTCAACCCCAAATGAGCTGCAAGGATACTGCAGAAAGGAGAGCCGGGAAGGCAAACTGGTATGCATTCATCTAATGAAGCCTCAGAGCTTAAATGAGACCCAAGAAGGACGTGTTCCTCAATCAACATCCTTTGCTGGCAGTGGAACAGTTTTCCTATCAACCAATCGGTGCACTGATTTTAGGGGTAGGGTACTGCTTGTTGTTCAGGAAAAGGATGTTGATGCAGGAACATGCCCTACTTGGATAAATCATGTGCAGTCTTTAGACCCATGCATGAGGACTATGAATGGAAGCAATCAGTTTTAAAAGGAGATAAAACAACGACACTGATAAACACAATGCATTATGTTTGCATTTTTGATTATGGTTATTTCGCACACACTTAAGTTATAAATGTCAGTGATATTTGAACTGTGTTCATGTGTGGCTTTGGAGATATGAGCTGTGTGTCATCCAAAGGTTTTAGATCCAGTTGTTGTCTTCCATCAGTTTTGTCCTTTGACAGATGAACCTACACCTTAAATGCATTTATTTAAGTCATGATGTAACAGAAGTAGAGGCAGATATTTTTTGCGGAGTGAAACGGATTAACAAAAAAAGAAAAACATTACTTGGCTCAGTTGTTGACTAGATGGAGGCATATCTGTAATGCGAGTTTGAGGTTGATCGCAAAAAAAGCAATGGGTTTAAATGGACTACAATACGATAAAGATCAATATCATGCATTTAGAAAATAGGTATTTCATTTCATACCAACTTTAAATAACATCATATCAGTTGTAATATGATTATCTGTTGTTATGGTAGTCGCCATTTCATATTCACTATGGATACAGATGATATTTACAAATGGTTAAGGCGTTTGACTTCAGTTACTCATTCATACTGGCAGCATTCAAGCTGCTTCTGTATGAACAGAACAATTCGAAAGTCACATGAGAGCACGTTTTTAAATGAAGTAGATTCAATCCAAAACAACATGTTAGAATATTGAAGTACATATTTATTTTTTTGACATAAACACAAACCGACACTGTTGACAGTGTGGTGGCCAGAGACAAATAATGAGAGGTAATAGTGCAGAATCTTGAAATAGAAAGAGGTTCAGGTGCTCGTGCCTCTGGAGACTCACTCTAATGAAGCAGG